GAAGATCGCTGCTCAAAATTTTTTAAAAATAAAAGATCTTAAATTTTACGATCTTCAAAGATCTCGATCTTTGAGGCTGTATTCAAAGTGGAGACGGATTTGTTTTTTACATCCGTTCCGTCAAAAGTCAATCTCATTAAAAATGATATATATGTTCACAGTGCATCCGTTCCGATACCTTCCGACAAAAACGGATCTGGCAAATTTTGAAGTCAAAACATTTTGACTTTTTGATCCGGCAAATTTTAGAGCGTTATAACGTTACTTATAATTTTTTAAAAATGAAAATCAATATATTAGATTTTATTGATTCTATTAGAGAAGCCAAATTTATATACCACAAAGCAGATGAAAATTACAAAATATCATCTTTACCAGAAAACCAAAAGGATAAAGTCAAAATGAATATTATACAAGTGTTTTTTTTATATAAAAGTCAAATAAAAAAATTTTATATTTGCTTTGTGATCTTTAGCTTGACCTATAATTATATCATTTTAAGTATCAATTCAGGCAAATGCTCTTCTTATACAAAATTTTTTAAAAATGACACATTAAAAAATCAGAGTATTAATTTCTAATAAATCTTATTATTAGCCATTCACCAAGTATTTAATTTGAATACAATAGCAGACAAAATTTATTAATATGTAAAAATTTATTTTAAGAATTTTCTTAATCAAAAACATGGTTAATTGGTACCAAATATTGATTTATGAACAAATTTTTGGAGTACTAATGATATTTTTTATTAAAATAAAATATGTACCAATAAAGTATAGAGGAATTTAATACATATAAATTTTATAATACAAAATATTGAATAAATAAATATAAGTAATAATTAATTATATTTTTTCCTTTCAATAAGAGATAATAAATAAAGCCTTGTCGGACGCCATCAATTCAGATGTTTTGACGTGAAATTGGATCCGTATCCACTTTGAATGCAGCCTGAATATCCTTCCTCAAAATTTTTAAAAATAAAAGATCTTCAGATTTTACGATCTTCATATATCTAGATATTTGACGATGTTTTTATTTTGAGCAAATGTACAACTCTGATTGACAATCTTTTAGATGGCAAATATAATGGTGGATAGGTGGATTCTAGTTGTAAATATAATTGATACTATTGAGATTAGATAGCAAATATAATAACGGATAGTTGCATCCTAATTTCAAATATAAATAATACAAAAATATGCTAATTTTCAATGTTAGAAATTTATCAAATGATAAGCATAAAATTTTAAAATGAGTAATAAAAATTAATAATATATAATATAACACCTTGTGAATTGGGATCTAACTGAAATTCTTCTACGATATTTTAATAAAAATATATGACCCTTCACTTATAATTTCAAATTTTTCTTACTTTTATATTATTTGGGATCTAACTGAAACTCTACCTTATCATATCAAATCTTCAGTAAATTCTTTATTTTATTTTTAAATAATAGATACATACCTAAAATTGTGTTATGGTTTAAAATGAATCCCGGAAAAAAAGCCCTCGAAAAAAAACCCCGGAAAATAAACCGCCCGGAAAATAAACCCCTAGGAAAAAAACCCCAGGAAAATAAACCCCCAGGAAAAAAACCCCCGGAAAATAAACCCCCAGAAAAAAAACCCCCGGAAAAAACCCCCCGGAAAATAAACCCCCAGGAAAAAAAACCCCTGGAAAAAAAACCCTCAGGAATTTTTTTTCATTTTTATAGAAGGTATATTTTTATTTGACCTACTCTCCATAAAAAAATGCTTAAATAAGAAAAACTGATGTTTAAATTGGTACTGGGAAAAAATGTCTCAGTAAAAACACTATGTATTGTAAAAAAAATTTGCTATAGTAAAAATACAATACCATCTTTAAATATGATATTAAATAGACTAAATTTGACAAAACTTAGAAATAAGAAATGTTTATTTTATTGGTAAATCATGATTATGTATATAAAAATTTTATAATTTATAATAATAATTATATTGGTTGACATCGAATATTGAAGGATATCGCTCTTATAAAATCCGGAAGGCTTCGCACCCCATCACGGTATTCTTCGCAAAGTTTCTTTAGCCGAATCTGGTTGTTAGAACTCTGCGATTTTGTTTTAGATGTCCAACTACCTACGCGCCATCTTTCAAGTTTGGTTTCGTCGGCAGCCACCTCGCATTTCATTTTTTTAATGAGTACCCAGATTGATGGGTGTTTATTCCCAACCAGACTAGAAAAACGATGATTCCAACCTTCGCATTGATTATTTGTTCGTTCTTCATCTGAGAGAGTACTCTGATTCACGTTCCAGGTTTCTGGAGGAAATCGAGGCTCAATTCGACGGTTTGGGATTGAGAATTGCTTCTCATGACATCCCTTGATACTCCATTGACATAATTTTTATCGAAATAATCAAGAATGTCTTTACCATTGCTCGGAGTAACTGATCTCAGGAATGTCATTGCATTATCCATATAACATAACGGAACGAATGCTAAGCCGTCCATCATGCCACAAAAAAAACTTAGAGTTTCATCGGTCCTGTATTCGCTTTCCAGACCCAGCTTCTTTGACACAAATGGTAAAAACATCCTCTAATTACGATGTGATCCCCTAATTGAAAAAATAAATATAAATTATTAAACATATTAATAATCATACCAATGATACTCTTAACAGCGGTCATAGCAGACTTTTCGAAATCCATGTATATATATAATGGATCAGGAAATAAATCCCTTTCCTGACATTTAGACATTATTGTTTGAAATATTATTTCATATGTACTTTGAGTTTTTTTCTGGAGTCCACAATAAACCGCTGTAATAAAAATATTGTTTATTGCTACTCTAATCACATATAATTGTAGAAAATTTTTGGGGACATGGCAAAATTACCATCCATATACCACTCTGTCCTATTAGATATTTGATTCAAGGAATCATCTGTTGCGAACATTATTATGCGTTCTTCAGCTTGTGGGCCATTATCAAATAATAAAAATCGTTTTGAGTTCTGGGAGCCACAATTTGCCCAACCACCTATAATATTTAAATTTTTATGAAAATATAATTATATTTAAACTAATACCTTCAAAAACTAGGTCTTCCAAATTCTCAAGATTTGAAGGGTGTTGCATTGCTTTGTGATTCCTTAGAGTTCTTTTTATAGAATCTTCCGATAACATATGCGACTGAACTCTTTAGTCTAATTTTACAATTTCCTCTGCATAAATTTGAAGAGGTTTTGCCAAAGAGTCTGCACACGCTTCTTCATGTTAGCAATGGATTTTATTGCTATTAGTCCATTAATATTTGATGGATGATTATGAGCTGTATCAAACCGGGTCTTGATTATCGAGTGTTGAAAAAAGTATTGCTCGGCATTTAAAAGAAGAATACTTTGAGCAGCGCCATCTAATCTTGTTTGAGCATTTTTTATGTATGGTATAAGAATAACCTTCAAATATGAGCTTTCCAGGATGAATAAGATCCATTAATTTTTTTTTATAACATATAAATTTTATGAATAAAATATTTTTGTAAATTTAAATTTTTTTTTGTCTTTTATATACGGCATAAAGATCCAAATTATTATTGTTTAATTTTATAAATACCAATTATAGCGTTTTTAATTTATAAACAATTTTTATTCTTTTGATTAAAAATACATTTTAAAACATAATGATCATAATACATTTTAATATCTGTTCATTTAACTAGTTGCTGAACAATAATATTTTTAACAAATTATTAACTTGCAATTGTCTAAATACCAATTATAGCGTTTTTAATTTATAAACAATTTTTATTCTTTTGATTAAATATACATTTTAATATCTGTTCATTTAACTAGTTGCTGAACAATAATATTTTTAACAAATTATTAACTTGCAATTGTCTAAATATCAATCATAGCGTTTTTAATTAATAAAAATTTTTTAATCTTTTGATTAAAAATACATTTTAAAACTTTTAATAAGCTAAAAACTAAAGGTAGTTGCATATCAATGAGGTGAGAAATCATGAATAAATTAAAATTATCACATTTATTCAAAATACCAAATGCAAAAAAATCGAGTATTTTCCATTTGCATTTTAATGGTTTCAACTGAATTAAATTGTATAATGGGTGAATATATATTTGTTTCTATTATAATAAATCATGCATGAATTTATTTCAATATTCATCTTTTAAATATGCAATGAATTAAGTTTCTATTTCTTTATATACTGGCTGCTAACAACCAATCAGGTTATATACAGATGTATTTCTAAAAATTGATTATCTGCTTAAATAAATTTGTATTTTAAAAAAATCTGTTTGGATTGGCCTATTTATGGAAGCAGTTACTTCTAAAATTTAGAATATATACATTACGTTTTAAGTATCAATAGTAAATATAAATAACCCATCATATTGGGGGGGGGGGGTAAATTTGGATGGTGCATCATATTCATAGGAGGCATACCAACTCCAACAAGGCCCATGACAGTAGGAGGAGGTGGGGGTGGAGGAAGCATGAATGGTCTATAAGCAAAAATTTGATGAGGTCATAATATTTTTAACAAATTATTAACTTGCAATTGTATATATACCAATTCAATATAAATTATTGCTAGAATATACTTAAATATGAGAGTGTATAAAAATAATCTCAAGTGGTTTTTTTTTCTGGCGTTTTTTTTCCTATTACCGTTTAAAATAGAGAGCTGATATTATTCTAATAAAAATATATGATCCTTCACTTATAATTTCAAATTATTCCTACTTTTATATGACTCCAATTGTTTCAAGTTTTTTAGGCAAAATTTTTTGAAATTTGGCGTTAATAATTAGAATTTAAAAAGTGCTCTTATATTTGTGTGAAATCATATTTCAGTAAATTTAATGAAGCAATAGAAATTAAAATTACTAGAAATAATTATATAGGGTATTGTATAGGAAAATTATTTATTATCCTTCAAAAAGGCTTTATTTTGATATAATTCTATAGCTCAAATAAGAAATGAGATAAAATCAAGTAAACAAATTCAATTGCAATAATCTTATTCAATAAGATTTCATTTACAACTGTAATTCTAATAAATACATATATAATTATATTATTATAACTAAAACATAAAATGAGAATAAAAATAAATTTAACAATTTTCACAAAACCAATGAATTTTATATGGTTTTTTTTAAAATGTTTAACTTTTGAAATGAAACCAGGACAAGCAAGAATCACATGAAATGGATGCATCATCATCTAAAGAGAGGTAACATTTCTGACAAATCCATGACTCCGCCATAATTTATTCATTTAAATCCTGAAACTTGTACCCATGCATCATTTGTGAAATATTATTTTAAAATCCACTTCATCATTTTTTAAAGATTGCATATCATTTTTTTTGGTAAGAATGTCGTCAGAATTAATCATCTCATTATTAAAAACTTTATTCAATGCAGACTGTTTACATATTTTATTTATGATCCATTCAGCCTTTTCTTTTGATAAAGTTGAAGGTTTAATAACTTTTCTGAGAAAAATAAATGCATTAATATTATTTTTTTTAAAAGCTACTATGAGTTGTTTGAAGATTGCCCAAATTTTTTATTTGTGTATCACCTAATTTTAAATATAAAAATTATATTATGATATATACCTCTTCATATGTCCAGAAAATTTCGGTATACTTTTAATATCAATATTATACTTATCATCTTTATGCAAAGGATGCAAGCAACCTTTTTTTCCTGCCAAATAAATACAAATATAATTATTCAGATGGTAAAATAATATTTTTAAATAAAATTATATATGATATTTAAAATATCACCTCTGTATATCCTGAAAATATCAAAATTATTCAAGATACAAACTTGGCTTAAATAATTTGATAAAATTAAAGGTAAAATAATATTTTAAAATAAAATTATATGATTATTAAAATAGATTCATTACTCTATAATCTAAAAATATCAAAATTATTCAAGATACAAACTTGGCTTCAAATAATTTAATAAAATTAAAGTTAAAATAATATTTTTAAATAAAATTATGATATTTAAAATAGAATCATCACTGTATAGTAATATCAAAATGCTACATTTCAATCTTTAGATAATTTAAAAAAGTCAATAATTATTTATGCAAAGGAAAACTTCATAAATATATCCATATATAAATCCAAATTATTGAAGCATCCATTTAGTAGTGATTTAATTAAATTATTAAATACAAAAGAATATGTTATGTATGCAAATATTCCTTAAAAAAAGGTCAAGATCTTCTGGATTAAAAAAGATATCCAGTTTTAGAAACCAATGTACATTTAACTTTACAGTTAGATATAAGCACGATCCAATAGGGCCTTATTTAGTGATTCTAAAATTTATAAACGAACATAAAAATCATGATCTAAGTAGGAAAATAATTTATTTTAATATTTATATTATATAGATAAAAACACCTATATGCTATTGCCCAAACAAAGGAAACTTTCTCCAATCAAAAAAAAAGCTTGTTGAGCAAGTCTTAGCTTTTAAGGCTAATAAGGTTAAAATACAGGCTAATAAGGTTAAAATACAAGACTAAATGCCTCATAGCAACATGTTGTTGGAGGTTGTTAACTAGATAAATGAGGACAAGGGTGCCATTGTAGAATTACACGAAGAAAACAATGATCTTATGGGCATCTTTTTTCAGGACATAGCTATGCGACATAATGTAAAATGCTATCCTGAGGTCCTATTTATAGATGCCACCTATAAAATAATCTTGGCATGCCCTTATTCATTTTATTGGTAATTGATGGGCATCGCCAATCCCAAATTGCAGCATTGTGGCTAGTTAAAGGTGAAACTTATAATTGTGTAATTTATGTGATATTTTGGGGAAATATAATCGGATAGATAAAATTCAAGTGATAATTGGGGATAAAGATTTTGCAGATCGGCAGGCTTTATATTCCAAAGGCAGAGATAAACATATGTATTTTCCATATTACAAAGTTCAGGATAGTATTTATTTATATTATAAGCAGCCCTTAATGCCATTAAATGGCGGCATGGTAAAAGCATTGTGGTAAGATAACCACAAGAGCACTTTTTCATAGATACATTGTAGATATTACCGAAATAATTTATTTTTATAGCTGTGAACATGTCATTGGCTAATACTGGTAAGCTGATTGAATTACTTAGATTTATTTCATTGAGTATAATTTTAAATGAATAAGTTTTCTACAAATTCCTATATTTGTTCTCAGCAGATAGAGGACTATATGGAAATAATGAGCTTTTTTCATTGTTCATAATGTTTCTATAATCTTCCTCGAATATTGCTAAAAGTAACATCATATTATAATAAAAATTGGCATAATATAAAAACTGAATGGGTTATTGGACTAAGATCTAATGTTCCACATTTTTTTAATTCAACAAATAACAGAGTTGAGTCAATGAATCAAAAATTTAAAGCAGTCATCACAAAATTTTCAACTCTTAAAGGGCTGTTTAAGGATATAGTATCTATAGTTAATTCAATGGCATTTGAGAAAGATTATAGAAACACTATGAGCAATGAAAAAAGCTCATTATTTCCATATAGTCCACTATCAGCTGAGAGCAAATATAGAAATTTGTTGACAACTTATGCCTTTAAAATTATACTCAGTGAAATAAATCTGAGTAATTCAATCAGATTACCAGTATTAGCTAATGACATGTTCACGGCCATAGAAATAAATGATTTGGGTAATATCTACAATGTATCTATTGAAAAGTGCTCTTGTGGTTATCTTACCACAATGCTATTACCATGTCGCCATCTAATGGCATTAAGGGCTGCTTATAATATGGATAAATACTATCCTGAACTTTGTAATGTTAGATGGACTAGGGCCTATTCAAAGATATGTAATCTTGAACAACCACAAACATATACTACAGACATATCAATCACATCATCTGTATCCATGAATATTAAAAAAAAATTATCACAGCAACAAAAATATAACAAGATATTAAAACAAATGGTATCAAGTGCTGGCTATATATCTAATCTACCCTAAGACAATTTTGACCTTGTATTTGACCAAATTCAAAAAATTGAAGGTTGTTTTAGGGATGGTAAATTATTATTTGTCATACCATCAGATGAAAGTATGGAGATTCATTCTCTGATTAGTAGTAAACAATTAATAATATATTTTTATTTAATAATAATTATAAGATCCTGATGACAAAGATGAAATGGGAGATATTGTTTCTGTATCTACCTTAGAAGATAGTGGTAAAAATTTAATTTCTTAATATAAATATTCTATTAAATAAAGAAATGCATGAGAATATAACCAGTGTTTTATTATCTCCTAGCTTAAGAAGTAATTGTATATTTCTAATAAAAATAATGTTTTTATATTTCTCACCTTTGCAATACTATAACATTTTTATTTTATAGATCCTGATGATCTCATTATGAATAATGAATTAGAAAAAACTATTTTGGAAGAAAAACAAGACAGTATTAATGATTATTTTCTTATGTAAATAAATAATTTCTTTTCAGACAAAGAAAATATTGATTTTGATAAAATTCTTAGTCTAAAATTACCAGTTCGAATGAAAAGGCAAGGCAAGCCAAAGAAATCTGATATATCTGTAATAGGATTATCTAAAAAAGGAAATAAAAGTAAAAAGAAATATTTTGATATTTATAATGTTAATAAAGAAAAAGCAATTAAAGATGACAAATGTAATTTTGGTATTAAAAGTATACCTAATTTGGCTGATGACATAGGAAAAGGTATATATCATAATTTATTTATGTTATTATTTTAAATAGGAACACCAATTATAACCAATTCTCAAATGGAATTTATAAATTTCATAATCAATGAAAAAAGAAATGCAGTTTACATTTAATATTTAAAAATATCAATATTTTAATACTTAAAATTAGCTGATACACAACTCAAAAATTTGGGCAATCGGTCATATAAGTCATAGTTATTATTTTTAAAATAACATTTATCTAAACTTTTTACAACTTGATCAAAAGAAAACAAGGCAGAATGGATCATAAATTAAATTTGTATAGAATCTGCATTGAAAATTCATAATAATGAGATGATTGATTTTGATGACATTCTTACTTATAAAAAAGATATGCAATGTCTAAAAAATGATGAAGTGGATTTTAAAATAATAAAATCATATTTAACAAGTGATGCATGGGTACAGGTTCAGGATTTAAAAGAAAAGATAATGGCAGAGTCCTGGATTTGTCAGAAATGCTACCTCTCTTTAGATGATGATGCTTTCATTTCGTGTGATACTTGTTTGTCCTGGTTTTACTTCAAATGCCAAAAAATTTTTAAAAAACCTTCTAAAATTAATTGGTTTTGTGAAAATTGTTAAATCTTATTTTATTCGCATATATTTTAATTATAAAATGATTGTAATTATTTATGTTTTTATTAGCATTACAGTTGTAAATGAAGTGAATATTTTTATTGAATAAAATTATTTCAAATCAATTTGTATACTTGTTATCTCATTATAAAAAGTTTTTTTTATAGGATAAAAACATTTTCTTATAACCATAATAATTAATTCTAATATTTTTTTATAATTTTATCTTCATTAAATTTGCATAAAAATTTTGCCAAAAAAGATACTAGGAAAATTTTGAAATTATAAGTGAAGGATCACATTATATCAACTGCCTATTTTAAATCATGACACAATTAGATATGTATCTAAAATTTAAAAATAAAATAAAGAGGCTATTGAAGATTTGATATAAGGAATTCATAGTAAAATTTCAGAAAGATCATAATTAATATAAAAATTGGAAATAAGCTGTCAATATTTTTAGATATTAATTGATTTAAAGATAAAATAAAGAAGCGACTGAAGATTTGATACTATAAGAAATTAGTTAAATCAAAGGTGTTATATATTATATATATATACTCATTTTAAAAGTAGCTATATGCTTATCATTTTTTAAATTTACACATAGAGAATTAGTATTTTTTTTAATATTGTTAATAACATTATTTATATTATCTAAAAGATTGTCAATAGCATGAATTTTTTGCAAATTGGATGCAGCTATCCGCAATTATATTTGCCATCTAAAAGATTATCATTATCATCATTTTTATTTAAAACCTGGATGCACCTATCCGCAATTATATTTGCCATCCAAAAGATTGTCAATAGCAACAAATATATTTGCAACCCTGGATGCTCCTATCCTTGGCCATTAAATCACTACTAAATGGATGCTTAAATAATTTGGATTTATATATGGATATATTATGAAGTTTTCCTTTTCATAAATAATTGACTTTTTAAATATCTAAGGATTGAAATGTAGCATTGATTCTATTTTAAATATCATATAATTTTATTAAATTATTTGAAGCCAAGTTTGTATCTTAAATAATTTTGATAATTTAAGGTTATACAGTGGTGAATTTATTTAAAATATCATATAATTTTATTTAAAAATATTATTTTTACTTTAATTTTATTAAATTATTTGAAGCCAAGTTTGTATCTTGAATAATTTTGATACTTTCAGGATATACAGTGGTGAATTTATTTTAAATATCATATAATTTTATTTATTTACCTTTAATTTTAATAAATTATTTGAAGCCAAGTTTGTATCTTGAATAATTTTGATATTGGATATAGAGTGGTGAATCTATTTAATATAATATTATTTTATTTAAAAATATTATTTATTTGAAGCCTAATTTTGTATCTAGAATAATTTTGATATTTTCAAGATATATAGTGGTGAAACTATTTTAAATATATATAATTTTATTTAAAAATATTATTTTACCGTCTGAAAGAATAATGGTTGAATTTGTATGTTTTTAATTACGTGATACGTGATATAGAACGTTTTCGCCCTCTAGTTGTGAATACAACAGAGCTACGTTAGGTTTTCCTCATAATCCATCTGACTGGACAAATTAAAAAGGGGATAAAAATGAGGAGCCCTTCACACGTTTATGAGCAAGCCGCACGTAGTGTTGTTAAATAGTCGAGTTTTTACGACTCTAAACTCAAGTCGGAGTCGCAAAACTCATTTCAATTTGAGCGGCTCAATGAGCTGCATGAGTCGGCTCGATGAGTCAGCTTCAGAGTCCCTCTATATATTATACTCATTAAAGTTGTTTACTTAAAGCCGACTCATCGAGCCGACTCTGAAGCCGACTTATCGAGCCGTGAAATGAGTTTTGCGACTCAAAACTTGACTAGATTTTAGGCTAAGTCGACTCGACTTAGCCGTTTAACAACACTAGCCGCACGTACATGTACGCGTAATAGTCCAAGGACTATTACTTAAACGTCTATGGGCTGATAAGGAATGGACAAAATAAGCACAGCCCACACCCATAAGATGCTTATATACATAATAGATTTTAAAGGCAAAGGGGGACCTAACTTTAAGATGAGAAAATTGATAGCAAATAATAAATGAAAGGAATGAGAAAATTGATAGCAAATAATAGATGAAAGGAAAAGTTCGATACAGAATAAGGAGAGAGAAAAGGGAGCAAAAGTAAAATAAAGAAGATAAAACAAAAGTAAAAATAACCTGTGTCAGGGAGGAGTTTATGAGAGATTCAAATAATTTGATTTGATCTTCAACAGTTTATTTATTGATTTCTTATCTTTATTCAACCTTAAAAACTGATTCATGTTAAGGTTTAAATCCAAGATATCCTTCACTGCCCTATAAAACCATAAAGTTTTATATTTCCCATAGACTTTGCCGTTGAATGAGTATAACCAATTTATTGCCTCCAGGACCAGGCTATTATTTGTGTGATTCCGCAGAATGTGTGCAAAAAAAGTAAGACGTTTCTTTTTCAAAGTCACTTGCACTAGAGTGTGACGTGACCTCCGCCAAAGGTTAACATTAGAGATAATGTTGGGGTAAAAAATACCATTTATTATCCTAAGACATTTGTTGACAACACCTGTAATCTCCTGATCTCTGTTTTCGTAATCTCCCATATATCACCGCCATAAAGGGGAATTGGGATGATGGTGGAATTGAAAACACGTAGACGTGAAAAAAAAGAAGTTTGCACGCATTCTTTGCGTTTATTTTAAAGAATGAATCTTTTCATAACGTTATCATAAATTTACTTAATAACGACCAAATATTTTTTTCTATATTAATACTACCCAATTGTCTTGCGACATCTTAATTTTAAAAGAAATGTTCTTGATGAGAAAACTACTGGTCATTCTTTATCATTCTTATTTCTAAAATTCCAAATAAAAACTGCCATTATAAAATTGATGTTTTTTCTATATAAGGTTAATTCACTAGATGCTTTGCTTTTTTAAATAAAATAATTAAACATTAAATTATTTTAACAGCCGTTTATAATATTATTGTCATTGCTTTTCCTCATTTGACAAGTGTAATATTATTTTTATTGTGGAGATGACGGAAATATAATGAATTTTCTTAAGCATGGTCTACATAAGAGGGGAGGGGGGTTTGCTTCTAATTTTTTAAGGATGAGTGAGGATAGGCATTTGAGGGAGACTGGCTAGAGTTAAGATGAATTTATTGGAGGTTTATTTATTAAATTTTTAAATGAAATACGGCAAATGTATTGATATAAAAATTAATAATTTTTTTATATATTCAATGATATTGCTAAACATTGACCAAATATATATATTGCAAACAATTATAAACAATAATTGTCAAATAAAACTATTTTTGGATAATTTTCTACATTTAAAAGGATTATACATTCTATCAGCAAACTCATATTCATGCCAATCAAATTACTATAATAATTCATTCATTGTATTTTTAAATTGAATTCATGTTCTAAAAAATAACTTTTACATTTACAATATTTTGATAGTGTAAAGAATTATTAATTTAACTTATTCTTTTTAAATTTTGGTCTACCAGATTAAAAATTAGTAATGTCTTTGAGGGGGATTTGAATAGAGTAAATATCCTGTCCTGTCATCTAGACGTTTTGCCATCCCAAAATGGTAAATCGATTGGGTATCTAAAAGCCCCTATATCTGCATTCATAATAAGCCAATTTGCTGTGAAATATGGAAACTGAATCTAAAAATATATAATATTTTGGTACTTGCCCGCGAATTCGCGGCTAACTGTGAACACAGGGTATGCCGTCCATCCAAGACAATTTGTAGTTGATTTCAAAATGTTCCCCTATGATGGATGTTTGCTCTTTATGGCTGTTGAATATTATTGATTGGTGATTATAAATGTTAGGTTGACTTGCAAATAAATTATATTATGAATTAAGTAGTAATTTAAAATTTCATTTGGCAACAGTTATTTTGTTTGTGTTAAAATAAACTATTACAAACAAATAAATTAATGAGGAAACCATTTTAGTAAGTATTAAGTGAATATGATGTTTGATAGGTATTTTCCAAATCAAAATTGGTTAAGGGGTGTATCCTAAATTAAATTATTGGTTTCTAGGGTAATAATTAGAGATCTCCACGAGGATATATTTTAGCAACCATATTTCAATTCCTCTGAATATAATAATGACCATTAATTATTTTAAAAGTAGCGGATCTTCTTGAGCCGGACCTAATATTCTATTTTCCAACGGTCTGGGTTTTTGAAATTGCTATTCAATTGGCATGGATCTAAATTATTTTAAATTAGCTATTTAAAACAGTTCGCAATTTTTTTTTCTAATAAAAATATAATTCAATATCGTAAACAAATTTATTGTAAGATAATTATGTTGTTAATGCTTTAATACACTAAAATTGTTTATTTTCGTGAAATATAATTTATTGAATTCTTGGATATGGGCTTCGAAAAATTTTTGAAACTTTGGCCTGGGATTTTTATTTGATATTAGATACGCTGTACTGCGGCCCTAGTCCGGACTTGATCGAAATGTGAAGGTCCTAGTCACCATGGAAATAATTATAGATTGAGTTGGGGACATGGGTTATCAACCATAATCCTTGAATATTTTAATAAATTAGTTATCCTATTAAGGGGTAGGTGCCAAATTAAAAGATTGGGTTATGAAGAAAGTAATCATATAGATTATGTGTAGATATGGGTTAGCAACCATAGTCCTCTCAATTTGATTCTTAAAATTAAATTTTTTATAAATATTTTTGTGGGAAAATGGATTAAATGATTAAATGGAAATAAAGTTTAAAAAAAATAAAAGGTTTGATAAAGTATGTTGAATACTTAAGAATATTTACAATTCATTATTTTCAAAATTAAATAATGTGCTCCCGCGTCTACATGACAGGATTTTCACTGGATGCAAACCCCCTTCAAAAACCTTTGCCTACCCCCCTATTATTATTTTCACTTTTATAATTTTATTAATACTCTTTTCAGAGAATTTATAAGGATAACTTAAATTAATCTATCTCTACTACCAACTATCAATATTTTGTAAATATAAAGAATTTATTTTTTAGATAATAAATTCAATTAAAACCTCCATTATTTACAATGAATTAATTATTGGCATTATGAGCTTGCTGATATATCTAAACCTTTTAGATTAAAAAGGATAGCAGAAAGTTTTATTTGGAAAATAATGTGTATGATTGTTTGCAATATATAGAATGGTCGATAATTGTATTATAATATTTCTATAATAAAAGTATTAATTTTTACAGCAATAAATTTTGTCCTATTTCATCTCAAAATTTAATAGATAACCCCCCAAAAAATTTATCCTACCCCCATTAAAGCAGGCTACCCCCTTAAAAAAATAGGATGCAAACTGTTCCTACCCCTCCCGCTCATGTAGTCATCTTCTTTTTTCTTTTTAAAATTCTAAATAACTAATGATTTTTAGATTTAAAAAATAGGAATCAATATAAGATTAAGTGTATTTTAAAGATATCATCACCTTATATCAAAATATATAATTTAATAAAAAAAACTAAGCTTCTTTTATGAATAGAATCTAAAATCAAGTCATATTAATTTAATAAAAAACTAAGCTTCTTTTATGGATAGAATCTAAAATCAAGCCAAGTTAAGATGTGGTTTTTTTTATATCAGAGTGGTATAATCTTTTCCTCATTTTATATATACCTAAAACATATTTATTTTTTGACTTATGGATAATCAATTATCAAGATTTTATTTAAAAAAAATAAGATCAATATATTAAATATAAATTCATATAATAGTATAAAAAAATTTGATTATTTTTTTTTAAATATAATATATTATAAAATATAATTACCAAAAAAAATATAGTGATCAAACTCCTATATAAATGATCTATATTATAATTAAATTTTTTTGATTTTTTATATATATTGAAATGATAATATTTTGCATATATCGAGGAATATTTCTTTTCAAAAAATAAATAATTTATAATAAAACTTTGTGTTTGAATTTGATATAAATAAATGACTCTTTTAAAAACATATAAAAATTGCATAGTTCAAATTTAATCATATATACTTTAAAGCAAGCGTGTTAAAAATTAAATACAAGTATAGCATAGGGGATTTTTATCTAGATATTTTTAAAAAACTAGTAAAAAGGAATACAATTAACAGGTATATTAATCTCATTATTAAATATTAACGTTTTGATAATAATTGATGTAAATTATTGCATATATGATTTTTGTTTAAAAAAATTTTTTAATTACAAAATTACACTTTTTTCTCTAAGGCACAAATAAATAATTTTTTAAATACTAAATACTTTTTTTATAAGGAAATAAATAACTATGAGGTAATAGATAAATAAATATAGGATATAATAGTAAATTGATATAATCTCTTATTAAATGGCTTCATTTTAAAAAAATCTTTTTATAAATACTCAACAAAGTAATTGTTTTTTGTGTTCACTTATAACTTTCAGAGCTTCTTTTTCTTTGACGATTCTTTCGAGCAAAGGAATAAGTTCCAATAATTCGCGATCGTTTTCGTCACCAAACCAAGATGTTATGGGAATCTGTTGGGTATAAAAAACATAAAATATAAATTATAGTTGATTTTTTAATGATTTAATCAGTTTTCATTTGATTCGTAAAAACTTAGAAGATCTTTTTAGATAGTACCGCATTTTTAAAATTTTAAATAAAATTCTCTTCTTCGCTCATTTAAAATTCTCCAAAAAATGATCCCCCTCCTCATTCAGTTGAAAAAGCTAGTGACGCCACTGGAATTAAAGTGATACAGGAATTTAAGCAAATAGAGGGTCATGATTCGAACCTATATCCTTAAGATCAAACTATAGAATCCTCCATTTGAGCCGGGTTTAAAAACGGCTAACTAAGTATTTAAACCAAAAAAATATTATGCAAGCACAAAGATTTGGCGCATAGATGGCACAAAGGTTTGGATATCTATTCGAGAAATTTCGATGCTAAGGTAATATTTTTCCTAAATAAAATATTGAGTTCGCCGTTTTTAAAATATTGAGTTAGCCATTTTTAAAAATCGGCTCAAATGTAGCGATTCACTATGCAAAATCATTCAAAGGGCATCCAATCTCAGTGATATTTTGGGTAAATGTTTACTAAATATAAATAAACCCTTATGCCGTGATCTGGTTCTTCTTATTTATTTAGACGTCTATTTCCTCTAAACTGCCTAAAAAGATAAAGACTATTTAGCTACGCAAAAAGTCTTTCTGGGAAAAAAAAATAACAAATAATATTTATTTAATGTACGTACTTTCCAAACATAGCTTGTTTACCTTTGGCAAACCATTTAAATAAGTTTCAAAAATAAGAAGAACCAGAACCTTATATTTTAAATACAATTTATAATATTTGCTTACGGCGTTTTGGGGTTGAAATATATATGAAGCGGGAGAATTGTCAATGATAATAACTTTATCTGTGTTTCGTCCAAGCCTGTTCAAATCCTTTATATTTTTTTTTTATTTTCATAATATAGAGCTCATAATGTGATTACCATTTAATAAAATTAATATTTGTGTTTGACGATTTAATGCCTTTGGCTTATACTTCTCTCTAAAAAACAAAATTTTAAAATTGAATAAACTAGTTACCAACTGCTTTTAAGTTTGCCTTATCAATTGATAAACATCGAGAATGTTATGAATAAAATATTTATAAATGAGTTAATTCCGCGAAATAAATTTATTTTTTAAACTTTGACATAATTTCCTTGATGAAAAACGCAGGCATCTCTGAATAAACGGGCTCTAAAAAATTCTCCCTCCGCGTCTAGCAAATCAGCGACCGGATCAGCGTACTAATAAAAATAATATCGCGATATTATTATATTTACAAATTATATCGGTTTGAATATATTGTTATTTTTACAATTGATTGTAATAATAATGAGATTGTTTACTGTTTTAACGGCTTTTTATTGTAAATTTAAACCAAAATCCTTGATTTAAATCAACAAAATTGGTTTCTCTGACTTTTACTGTTTTAACGGCTCTTTATTGTAAATTTAAACCAAAATCTTATTTAAACCAACAAAATATTATTTCTTTGACTTTAAAAAAAATCATAATTTAAATCTACATTGCAGGTTATATAAAACTTACTTTGGCTAAACTAGCCGTGAACAATACGCATTCGAATAACCGAGATATTTTCAGGAGGAATGTGTCCACGTGTGGCCTTTTTAAAACATATACCTAATAATTATTTTGTTGAAATAAAAGTTAAATATTTTTTTAAAATTTTTTCTTATGGTTGAAATAACGTTTGCCAGACCATCTAATTCATTTTTTAACATTTGCAATTTTTCCCGTTTTATAAATCCCAATTTTAAATTTTAAATTTTATTTGAGTTTCAATTATAGTGGAAATGATTTGCGCTTGGACTTATTATAAATTTGATGACTTTGAATGATATCGTTCGAGAAGTAGTCAGAAAAATTGACTGTGGACAAGATAAAGTTATCATAATGCTCAAATTAGTTGTGACTTCTTTAAAAAAATTCAACTGAACAACAAATAATATGGCTCAATCGTGGCAAATCCTTATAAAATTCGGTATAAATAAAATTCTTTCAAGTTAGAGTTAACAAATTTTAGGATAAATAATGTTCATATTTAGAGAAAAGATAAAGTAATTACAATTAATGAACTGGAGAGTTGTTTAAAAAATACTTTTCATATATAAGATATAGATATATAGCCTGAAAAGTATCCAGATACATAAACACGACTTAAAAATGTATCTAGATATAGACACATTTTTAAAATAATCACGTATGATGTGCACAATGGCATAATGCAAAATTACAAATTCATTGTTAAAACCCAAATTGAGAATTAAACTAAACATTATATGATTAAATGCTTATAAATTTTATTATTAGCATAACATATTTTTGGCCACCCTAAAAATTCAAATGATGAACTAGGAGGTAGTGATAGTGATACACTTTATGAATATCACCTTTATATTAAAATAAAGTAAAGATCACGATACTCATTTTTAAAATAATGATTCATAGTTTGTAGGGTGTTAAAAATTTATATCCTTAACCATATCCTCTTTAAGGTGTTAAAATATAATATTAAATTTTTGATTTTTTCTGCGATTAGTATCATCTAGAAACTTTAAAAAATTCATCGACTAGTGATAAGTTAATTATTTTTTTCCTTTGATTATCCCTGGCATTTTTAGCATGGTCCAATCACTAAAAAATTTGATTGCTATGTTGATTGTTTTTTCTTTATCAGTATCACAGATACTAATCATGAAAAAATTTATAATAATATAAAATTATTACTAGTAATACTATATTGTCATCAATTTTGAAAAATAAAACATCTTTTGAATTGGGAAGTTAAATAAAATTGTATCAAAATGTATCTATAGGTAGATACAGCCAAGAATATATTAGACACTATTATGTATCTATATAATATACAGTTACAATATTTTTATATATACTTAAACAACTCTGGTAATATTTTAACACATGGGAAAAAAAATCAATTCAGTAGTTTCAAAAATATCGAGATCAATATATTATGCTTAACATAATTATCAACAAATTATAAATAATACGGCAGTTCCTATTCTGTTTCGACGGTCCAAATGTCGTTAGGCATTATAGAGATAATTAAAAATATGTAGAATTTGGGATAAAAGATTTTAAAAAAATATATAGAATATTTTAAAAAAAGGTGTGGGAAGGGCACGGGGACTAAAATTTTCCCCCTATTTTTTGGTATGAATCTAGAAACTCTACCTTTAACACAATTTATAAAGAAATTTGTCTAGAAAATAGGTAATTAAATATTTTTAAAAATTTTAAAAACAAATCATTATATAAATGATCCAATATTCTAAAAAATAATAATGAAAAATACCTGATGAATTGTATTGTCTATATTGACTGGAATCACGTAATCCGCATTCTCAACCGGCTTTAATACGCGATAGGTCATGCGTTTTATTAAATATTTTTTAAAAAAATAAGATATTAATTATTACTATAATAAATACTAATAAAACCATAGTGCACTACCTTGTATAAAAACAAAGATTAAAGGATTTTTGCGAGCTTTTTAAACATCCTCATGTATAAAACTTTTATTTTTCTATTATTTTTATTTATGCGACGAGGGAATTTTCAGCTACCTTGTATAAAAAATAAAGAACAAAGTGTTATAAATAGTTTTATTATTTTCTTTGTATGAGTCATGAAATATTTTTTTTTTTGTTTGAAATTTTATTTTTAATATTTTTTTTTAGTTTCGCGCAGTCATCTTGAACGTCATTATATAAATATTTTTTTGTTTGAAATTTTATTTTTAATATTTTTTTTGTTTCGCGCAGTCATCTTGAACGTCATTATATAAATATTTTTAATATTTATTATGTAAAAAAAAAATAAATAATAATTTAATATTTATAAAAAAAATAATAATCTTATATAAACTAAAAAAAAAGTGGAAATTCATTATTATTATCAATTATATTTTTTTTTATATTTATTGTTTTAAAGAAAATAAAACCAATTTATTCAAAAAAAAAAAGGGGTAAAAAAATAAATAAATATACTGTTAAGTTAAACATTTCTGTACGGTGAAATTTTGAAATTGGTGCCGTGTTTATACAAAGCAACCTGGTTAGTGCGGTTGTCGTAATATCATATAGTGGTATTTGAGTCTTCGAGTGGAAAATATCATATAGTGGTATTTGAGTCTTGAAGTGAAGTGTACATCGTCTTCATCTACATCTACGGTAAAATATCATATAGTGGTATTTGAGTCTTCGAGTGGAAAATATCATATAGTGGTATTTGAGTCTTGAAGTGAAGTGTACATCGTCTTCATCTACATCTACGGTAAAATATCATATAGTGGTATTTGAGTCTTCGAGTGGAAAATATCATATAGTGGTATTTGAGTCTTGAAGTGAAGTGTACATCGTCTTCATCTACATCTACGGTAAAATATCATATAGTGGTATTTGAGTCTTCGAGTGGAAAATATCATATAGTGGTATTTGAGTCTTGAAGTGAATTGTACATCGTCTTCATCTACATCTACGGTAAAATATCATATAGTGGTATTTGAGTCTTCGAGTGGAAAATATCATATAGTGGTATTTGAGTCTTGAAGTGAATTGTACATCGTCTTCATCTACATCTACGGTAAAATATCATATAGTGGTATTTGAGTCTTCGAGTGAAAAATATCATATAGTGGTATTTGAGTCTTGAAGTGAAGTATACATCGTCTTCATCATCGACATCAGCTGTCCATTTATTTTTTTTTCCTTTCTCTGCTCTCTCAAAATAAAAAAAAAGTCTTATCGTACGGAAGTGCTGTCCGAATTTTACGAGTTGTAAATCTGTTACACAAAATTTGCCCAAATTTTTGTCGTATCTTTAGACTTATTAACTGTAGATGTACATGTGTATTATTGGGTTGTTTACACTATTAATAATATCATATCTATTAACATTACAAATAACAAAAATTTTTATTTTGAAATTAATTATAAATTTTTTATAAGGTCGAAATGAAAAGTTTAAAATTTGTAAAATACTGGGAAATACAGTATAATATTTTTGGGGCATTGGTTATATTAGTAATATGGATGTGTAGCTTAATATGGGGAAGAAAGTTGAGAAGAAGTCGAAGTGTGAAAATAAAGGGGCAGACATTGACTATAGAAGGACATAATGGGGAAGAGGATGTTATGGGAAAGGTAACATGGTTCCCAGTGCAGGAGTTAATTAATGGGTGGACGGATAGCGAATTAGATAAATTAACCTATAGGCCTGAAAGGAGAGATTCATATACTAATCAGAGATTGGGGACATATAGGGGACCTAGAGAAAGTTCACAGGGAAGGAGAGGAGAAATGAGACCCAACTTTGATTCAAGAGTAAGGGGGAGAATGAATTGTTATAATTGCGGAAGACAGGGACATATGGTCAGAGATTGCCAAGAAACGAAATGTTTTGAATGTGGAAAATATGGACATATAGCCACGTTTTGTTCAGGAAGACGTGATAAGCTACGATGTGCAGGTTGTGGTCGATTTGGTCATAATAGGGAGGAATGCAATGTGGGTAATTTCAAAACTAGAGGCGGTTTTCCGCAGAGGGACATGGGGCAAAGTGCTCCAAATGTTAGAATTATAGAAAGTGAAAAAAATAAAGAGGTAGGAATACCATTTTTGGCTGTGAATAAAGAGCAGAATAGAATCTGTTTCCGTTGCCGGAAGGAAGGACATGGGGCGAGAGATTGCGAGTATTTGTGACTATATGATGGCAAAGAGCATGCCGCAAAGGTCGGGGGGCTTTGGGCGAAAGAGATGGAAAGATTAGATTATAGTGAGAAAGATTGGGTATCAAAGGGCATATATATGATACAAGAGGAAAGGATACATGATCCTTGCCCTAGAGTTTGGATAAATTTGAATGGAAATATGGTATCCATGTTATTTGATACCGGGGCAGCCATATCCGTGATGGGATATGAGAAATATCAGAGTATTTGGTCGGAAGGGATAATTAAACGGGAGGACATCAAGATCCGTCAGTTGGATGGATCAGAAGTCGCAGTGATGGGAAGGGTGGAGTTAAAGGTGGTATTAGAGAATAGAGTGGAGATTTTGGACTTATGGATAGTAGATCGAAAAGTAGAGTCAGTAGTGGGATGGGATTGGATCACCCGAATTGGTCCAGATTGTGGTTTTTGGGGGGTATTCGCATGGTGTGGTGTATTTTTACCTGTTGCAAGATATGAAGAAAATAGAGATATGAATTTGTGGTATGGAGAGAGATTGCCAGGAATTGAAACCTTTTTGGAAGGGGAAAGGAGAAGAGAGGATAATAGGGTTGTTAGAGACTGTAGGGGAGGTTTTGGGGGGAACTATAGGGGAGATATTGGGGGGAATTTTAGGGGAGGTATTGGGGAGAATTATAGGGGAGGTATCGGGGGGAACTATAGGGGAGATATTGGGGGGAATTTTAGGGGAGGTATTGGGGAGAATTATAGGGGAGGTATCGGGGGGAACTATAGGGGAGGTATCGGGGGAAATTATAAGGGAGGTTTCGGGGGGAACTATAGGGGAGGTATCGGGGGAAATTATAAGGGAGGTTTTGGGGGGAACTATAGGGGAGGTATTGGGGAGAATTTTAGGGGAGGTATTGGAGAGAATTTTAGGAGTTGTCGCGACTTTGGGAGAAAGGAAGAAAGAAATGATATTGAAGAACAGAAAGAAATTCATGATCAAGGAAAGTTTGAAGCGGAGCTGGAGAGATTGGCAGATGGGAAAATAATGTTGCCAGAAGAAGAGACTAGAGAAGATGATGATTTGGAACAAGGAAATACTAAGGGAACACATAGCCAACAAATGGAAATGGATGGAAAGGAAACGAGACGACGGGAAGAGAGGGAATTGCGGGATAGAGAGATAGAATTTGGTATGATCAAAGTACAAGAGGGAGTGAGAAACTTGATGAAAAATTACAAGGAGATTTTTGATGAGAAGTTGGGTTGTCTCCGAGATTATGAAGTGGATATCAAATTAAAGGAGGGATATGTGCCCAAGTTTTGTGCATTACGTCGGATACCGTTCGAATGGCGAAATGAAGTAGACAAGGAATTGGAGCAGTGGGTGCAGAAGGGCATTGTTTGTCCAGTGGAATATAGCGAATGGGCAACACCGTTAGTACCCGTGAAGAAGGCCAATGGAAAGCTTCGTTTATGCGCTGATTTTCGGGTCACGCTAAACCCGTGGGTTGTGGAGATAAAATATCCGTTACCTCGGATTGAAGAAATATTAGCTAATTTAAAGGGTAGCATATATTTTTCAAAGGTGGACTTTTCGAACGCTTACTTACAATTGAAGGTGAAACCCGAGGTACAAAAGCTATTAACGATCACGACTCCGAAGGGATTGTATGCCTTCTGTAGATTGCCGTTTGGACTTAGCGTGTCGGCTCCAATTTTTCAACGAACGATGGCGGCAGTTTTTCAAGGACTAGAGGGAGTATTTTACTACATGGATGACGTATTAGTGATGGGAAAGACTCCCGAGCAACACGAACGAAGATTGGAGGAGGTGTTCAAAAGGATCAAGGATAAAGGATTGCGGGCAAGCGTTGAAAAAAGTGTGTTGGGAGTATCAGAAATCGTATATTTGGGGCATAAAATCAATGGGAAAGAGGTCAGACCTTTAGACAAAAATATGGCAAATATAACAAGCATGTTGAAGCCTAATAATAAAGTGGAAGTACAAGCTTTCTTAGGAATGGTGAATTATTATCACCGTTTTGTGGAAGGCTTCGCGCAGATAGCGGCGCCGTTGTATAAATTGTTAAAGAAAGGAGAAAGATTTGAATGGAAGATTGAACAGGAGGAGGCTTTTGAGGAGTTGAAATTGAGGATTGGAAGGGAACCAGTACTAGTATGTTTTGATAACGATGTGCCAGTGATATTGGCCGTTGATGCTTCAAATAGGGGTGTGGGTGGAGCGCTATTACATTGTATAGACGAATTGGAGAGACCTATTTTATTTTTCTCAAGAATCTTTAGAGAGGCCGAGACAAGATATTCAGTGATCGAGCAAGAAGCGCTAGCGGTTATATTTGGATTGACTAAATGTCGGGAATACTTGATCGGACGTCGATTTGTCATATTTACGGATCACAAGCCCTTGGTTCATCTTTTCAGGAAGGACAACAAGGAGCTCATGTTGTCGCCTAGGTTGCAGCGATGGCTATTGCTGGTAGGCAGTTTCGACGTGCAAGTGAAATACCGACGAGGAAGAGAAAATTACTTACCGGATATTCTTTCTAGATGTGGAGCGGGAGAGGATTGCGAAACGAGTAGGTCGAAAGATATGGATGAAGAGGATGAGCACGGGTTGATTAGAGCGATAGTCGGAATATCTAAAGGAGGACCAGTTGCATGGGAACAACTCAAAAATGCTACTTTAAAAGATCGCGAGTTGACGAGAATCAAAGCGTGCATATTGGGTCGGAAGCAATGGCGAGATGGGGACAAGAAGTTCAAGCAAGTGGAGAAAGAGCTAACGATAGTGGACGAGTGTGTGGTACGAGGAAGTCGGGGAGTGGTGCCGTCCAGATTGCGGGAGGCAGTAAAGGCAATGATCCATGCTGGACATCAGGGTATGGAACGAATGAAACAATGGGGGCGGGAATACGTATGGTGGCCTGGCATGAATAAAGAAATCGAGAATATGGTGAGAAGTTGTGAAATGTGTAATTCATGGGCAAGTATGCCTCGAAAGGACAAGAAAAGTATTTGGCCTAGGGCTACTCAACCATGGGAAAGAGTACACTTAGACTTTTTCGACTTCGAAAATAAAATATATCTCCTCGTAGTGGACGCTTACTCAAAATGGGTAGAGTATCAAGAAGTAAAGGGGTTAACAACGCAAGTAGTAATTAAGACGTTAAAAGATCTTTGGGCAAAGTTTGGGGTAGCGGAAATAGTCGTGTCGGATGGAGGACCCGCTTTTATAAGTAAACAATTTAAGGTTTTTTGTACTGAAACTGGGGCGAGACACATTTTGGCACCTCCTTACCACCCAAGCTCGAATGGGCAGGCGGAAAGGATGGTGGCGGTGGTAAAGAGTTGGTTGAGGAAGTCGAAATATGGGGGTGGAGAGATTTGGATAGCGATTGCGTATTATAACAATAGTCGAAAGGGAGAGGAATTGTCCCCAGCAGAAAAGTTTTTGGGCCGTAGAACTCGTATTCAGTTGGATTTCTTAAGACCCAAACCGGCGCAGGAGGAAAATTCAATGGATAATCAGTGTGAATTTGTGAATGGTCAGACCGTATGGGCGAGAATTTTTGGAGGTACCCGAAAATGGGAGTCAGGAATAATTATACAGAACATGGGGCATAAAATGGTGAGAGTAAAATTCGTGGACGGAAAGGAAGGAGTTAGACACGTAGAACAGATACGGAAGAGAGTAGAGTCTGAAAGATTGAAATCTAGCCATGATGCGGCGAGGAGAGAGGGATAGATATCTTAGCAATTCTCGAGTTAAAGCACATAGAAAATAATAATACTAATAATGATAATTAACCCAAGATGATAATACCTCAGCAATTCCGAGATTAAATCAAATTTAATAAAAAAAAAAGAAAATCGATAATAATAATTAACCCAAGATGATAATACCTCAGCAATTCCGAGATTAAATCAAATTTAAAAAAAAAGGGGGATCAATAATAATAATGGTAACCGGTGCTAATAATGTTGGAGGTTAAGGGGCTATATATATATATATATATATATAAAAAAAACTTTCGTGATTCTCGAGTTAAAGCACATAGAAAATAATAATACTAATAATTAACCCAAGATGATAATACCTCCGCAGTTCCGAGATTAAATCAAATTTAATTTTAAAAAAAAAAATCGATAATGATAATTAACCCGAGATATTAATACCTCCACAATTACGGGATTACATCACATTTAATAGAAAATAAAATAAATATCAATGATATCAGTTAGTCAATGATTTCGTGATTCGGGGAATAAAGCGAGTATTTTTTTTTAAAAAAAAGGGGGAACTTAATTAGAGTGCCAATAAATGATGCACAAAAAGTTAAAAATGTTGGATATGTTAACCAAAGTAATAAATTAAAGTAAGGGATAATTTTGAGAGATGCCGGGATCGTAAATCAAAAGTTGGAAATAGAACTTGTATATAATTGGAGAATAGAATAAAAAGGAGTGACAATTGGACTAGGAAACAAATAAAAAGTGGTTCCAAGTTGGACTGAAACACGGAAAAAATTTCGGCAATGACAGTTGGAAGCGAGACACAAACAAGGAAGGTTCCAATAATTGGGCGTTAAAAGGGGAATTTTACAAATGCAAAATTAAAATTTTTTTTTTATAATTGTTAATTTTGTTAAAGAAAATTTTCCTGTATTTATTCATTTTGACCCAAAAGAAAAGTGAGTGAAAACTGTTATTAATTTTTTTTTATATATTATACCTTTTCCTTAAAAAAGAATGTCGGGGAGGCATCGGTGCATATATTGGGAGAATTTAACCGTTAGGATAAGTATTTATCGAGGATATGTTAATGAGGATGGGCGACCGATCTCGCCTTTGAATTACCGAAGCATAATAGACCATTCGCCTCCAATACGCCGAAACAGTAGATCGCCCCCGGTCCAAAGGGGAGTGTCCGGAATAATAACGAACAATTTAGATCACTCCGAATTACCGGAGCCCCGGCACCTCAGCATGCGCTCGAGGAGGAGACGTTCTTGTTACTTGTGTGGTTCGCCTAGTCATTTGCGAATGCGGTGCCCCCGTGGGCCAAATCGTAGGCAAGACTTAAATGATAATAGGGAAACGACGAGCCACAGAAGCCGAAGCCCGGGAAGGAGCGACGCACGCCCAGTTAGGACCATTTTGCCGCCTTTGACGATAGGGGCAATGCCGCAACAAGATCCATCCATAACTGCGATGGGGCGACCGGTGGGGATTATTGAGCCGTTTCGAGAAGAAACGCCGGAGGCGAGTCCCAGGGCCTATTACGCTGAAGAGTGGCCGATGGTTGATTTGTCGGCCTCTGAGATTCAGGAATTGTTGGAGGATGTAATGGGACCAGAATAAATTTTACAAATTTTGTAATAATAAAACAATTTTTTTTTTAAAATATCATTTTCCTTAATAGATTTTCGGGGAAAATACGATAAGATATTTTACATCATATATTTTTTTTTATTTATGTTAACATATGTAGAGAATAATAAATAATTACATTTTGATTTTATGTACAAAACCCCCTTGTTTATCTTTGTTAAACAACAATTTTAATTTTTTTTGTATGTTCAAGGGTTTTCATTTAATGGGGGCGTGTTATAAATAGTTTTATTATTTTCTTTGTATGAGTCATGAAATATTTTTTTTTTGTTTGAAATTTTATTTTTAATATTTTTTTTTAGTTTCGCGCAGTCATCTTGAACGTCATTATATAAATATTTTTTTGTTTGAAATTTTATTTTTAATATTTTTTTTGTTTCGCGCAGTCATCTTGAACGTCATTATATAAATATTTTTAATATTTATTATGTAAAAAAAAAATAAATAATAATTTAATATTTATAAAAAAAATAATAATCTTATATAAACTAAAAAAAAAGTGGAAATTCATTATTATTATCAATTATATTTTTTTTTATATTTATTGTTTTAAAGAAAATAAAACCAATTTATTCAAAAAAAAAAAAGGGGTAAAAAAAAAATAAATATACTGTTAAGTTAAACATTTCTGTACGGTGAAATTTTGAAACAAAGGACTTATGCGAGCTTCTGTTTTTAAACATCCTCGTATAAAACTTTTATTTTTTATTATTTAAAAAAAAAATTGCATTGTTTATAAAAAATACTTGTGCTATTTGAGTAATAATTTGGAATTAATTTATTTTTTATATGAGAAATATTTATATATTTGAAATCATCCTTAAATTTGCATTTTAATGATGTGTTTATCGATATATTATATTTAGTTTTGGGATAACCATCTAAAACATATATATATATATATATAATTAAATAATTAATAACCTGTGCCCATCTCATCTACAGGTTTATATAAAGTTAATACAAGATGTTTAAAAACACAAGGCATAAATCCTTTGATCTTTATTTTTATACGGTTGTTTAAAATTCGCTCCAATAAAATTAATTTAAAAAAAAGCTTTACAAGAGCGTAGATAGAACCAATAAGACATAATATGATTTAATTAGCCACATTATAATTAAATATCAATATTTCTTTTTTAGAAATGATTATAAAAAACATCGAATGATCAATCATTATAATTATTAATTTAAAACACAAAGAGAGAATAGAATGGATTGGATAAAATGGATATTGTGTAAAAATGGGGGGAGGGGGGGGATTTGATTATAAGATCCAAACTTTAAAGGAACTATGAACTAGCGTTTCGTCCAAATCGATAACCATGCATAATTTATTGATATCCATGGTGTTCGCGCTTGGTAATAGGTTATCCTGGAGCCCTTCCTTATAATCGTCGTAATAATAAACATTCCCATTGTAGTTTGAGTTAAGCGTGAGGTGGTTGTTTTGATTAGTTTCAGAAACGGAATATATAAGATCGTTTTTCTGACGTATTGTAAATAATACATAATAAATAAAAAATAGTAAATGAAATTACATTTCGAAGGTATACAAATTTATAATGGGCGACGGGAGGTGGGCCTAATTATGAGCGTTTTTACATTGATTTCGATATTAAAAATTTTAGACCATATAATCATAAAAATTTTAACTAGTTATCGTTGGTTTTTTTTCAAATATAACATATGTTGTCAAAAACTTCTATTTAGGCGCTTTTTTAAAAAATAATAAAATCAAGATTTTAGTCAAAAAATATTATACAAGCTTCTAGATTTCGCATAATGGTAGATAGGCTTGGACTACTTTTGATTAAATCTCGAGACCTAGGCAATATTTTTGGATACAATATTGATGCCATTTTTTTAAAAAAAAGATCTAACCCTGTATTCACAGTTAGCGCGTATTCGCGGCGAAGTATATAAACAAAAATACAGCATATTTTGTATACTTCGCCGTGAATTCGCGCCAACTGTTAATTAACTATGAATACAGGGTAGCCTCTCATTCAAGTTAGCGTGAATTCGCGGAGAAGAATACAAAAAATGATGAGGGGTAACTCGAGATTTTCAACAATAATACGATAGCAAAACTTTTATTAGACAGAAAAATAATAATTAGCGCGATATTTCTCGAGATAATTCCCCTATACTTTAATCAACATACTTGCATAAATAAATTTTCAAAATAAATAAATTCAAGAAAAAAAATTGATCAGATCCTAACCGACCTTGACGAAACCCGTTATTTTTATCTGAACCGATATTAGTCGTTACGGTTCATATCCCTGCTTATTTTGTATTTTATTTGTTATACTAGAAAATCGATATTTAAAAAAATAATTTAAAAAGCCAAAAAAAAGTGTTAATAAATAAATTATATTATAATAAAAAAATTTTTTTTAGAAAAAGGCTAGCATATTTTATATTAACTAAATTTAGATTAGTATATTTTGGCATGGTGTCATACGATACCAGATTATTTAAAATTTAATTATTTTTTTAGGATTAGGTGCGAAAAATCGTAATTTATATTTTTTAAAATAACACAATTTGAGGGATAAATTTAAAATAAATTGCACAATTATAGGCACACAAGAATATCAAATAATTCCAAAACAGTTTTGGCAGTTTTTTTTTCGTAAAAAATTTTTTTCTTTAGCTTTAATTAAATTATTCTTTATATTCGATTTAGATCTATTTCCCCATTATTTTAATTTACTTTCTGATACTTATATCTATGATGTATCTAAATTAAATTAGATTTTCAACGAAAGAGCGAATTTAAATGAAAGATGCCATGTTTTACTAAAATTTTTTTTAGTGATATCGAAATCATTCATTCAATAATAATAGTATACCAAATAAAATTTAGAATATGGCTAAAGGGTTTCAGGAAAGAATATTAAAGTATATAAAACAGACATCTCATCTCTAACAAGAGCGGAGGGATAACCTAATATCGTCATTGAAATTGGAAGGGGTAGGAGGTGTGATTTTGCTAATTTGTATTTCTTTTTTTAAACTTTATTAGTTGCTGGAAGGAGGGGTGGGGATAGTTATTAAGTACCTGCAAAATACTACTTTTATATTCTAAATAAAGTAATCGTTAAAAAAAGTTTAATTAATACCTTCAAATCGAGGCTAATTTCGGGGGCGTAGTTGATGAGATATGATTGGTTTGCCGGGATAGATGAAGATATGTGAATCGTACGAGGAGGATTAGTTTGATCATTATTGTAGTTAGAGATTGTATATCTACTACGATCATCCACCGGATGCTCAGAACTTACATTTTGATTTACGGAATTCGAATTGGGTAGAGATCTGTTCCTTTTTGAATAGCCGGACACGATAACTGAGCGTGATTGAGCATTTGCAGTAGATTTAATATGTTCATTATTGTTGAATTTACATGTAACGTTTCTAATTTTTATTTCGGAAGAAGAATTTCGTCGACTGGCTACTATTTTTTTGAACTTCACACAACATATTAAAGTCTCGAAAAATTTGACCGATACGGTTAACGGCGTTTTTCTATTGGGAGATTCTCTGGGTATCTTAGAACTGCGAGTGCCGTCATTTTTAATAAAGTTATCGGTCATGTTATTAGAGTTCGGTTTAGTTTCATGATTATTATTGTAAAGATAGGTAACTCCGCCATTTTGAATATGCGCAGGAGTGGAAAAAGAATCTTTTTTCTTTCTTTTACCGTAAGTTTTGTTAATGCTGTCAAGATTCTTAAGATCTGTCTCCATTTTTTTATTTTTTCCTAGATGATGATATAATTTTTTTTTGACATTGCGGTCTGCTTCGTATAAATTTTTGCCGTTACAAGATGTTTTATCGATGGTCATAGAGATCTTTTTACTTTTATCTTTAGAAGAGGTAAATAGATTTTCTTTGTGAGGCATGATGTCAGATGTACTAGGAAATGAAGAGTCTCGAAGGAGAATATATTATTTCTATAAAACGATTAAATATTTTAAGCAGTTTAGCAATCAGCCTGTTTGTAACCGGAACCATTAACCATTTTTAAAAAATTTATAGGAACCAAAAACTGGAATCCATTTTAAAATTTATAGGAACCGGCTCAAAATCCGTATTTAACAAAAGTGAAAGTAATTATTTTATCGTATTGTTTCAAAATGATGTGTTATCCATTTTTAGAGGATTTATCTATTGTTTAAATTTTTTTGATTGTCAGCTTGGAACCGGAACATATTTTTTAAAATCTTAGGGACCAGAATCCCTTCTTAAAAATACGGATGAGGAACTCTTTCCTGATAAGGTATATTAGCGTTGTAAAGCTTGTTGATATCAACCCGAATTTAGCCGGAAACTAAAAATGTAGTTATAAACCAATCCTGTTCTATATGTGCTATCACTATGGGGGGGGGGGAAAGAGTGGAAAGCTTATGGCGTGACCCCTTATGGCTTTTATTATTTAATGATGTTAAAAAAGTAAACTTGTGTAGTTAGTACCTTTATATCATCGATCTAACAACTAGAGCTAAGTCTATTTGTGACCATATATTATATGAAGCAATGAAGTGCGTGCAAATTTCCATGTAACCTAGGTGTTTATGTTTATAGGTCTTAAGTTTCCTCTCCGGTCAATTCAGCGAAACTTTTATCGTGAATGTCGTTTATTGTGAAGGTAATAAAACTAATTCCTCTAAACATTTATAATGAAGACAATATCGCGAATCCTTAACCGTAAATACTAGAGCGAATATATTTTAGCGCAACCCTTTTATAGCGAATTTTCTACCGCCAATGTATATGAGTGAAGTCATTACCGCGAAAAAAATTAATACATTGTAAATGCATTTAAAGGAAAACAACATATTTAATAATAATTACTCACAAAAGTTCCTTAAATCATAAACGCGTGTCATTCAAAATACTCCTTCCTTCCATGAATGAAAAAAGTTTTAAAAAATTTGATTTTCCTTATCATTAATAGTGATGGAGATGATTAACAAAACAGCGGAAAGATATTTTTATTTGAAATTCACGTCGAGATATTATGTTATAATTTTTATCCCCTATGAATTAAATATATTTTTTAAAATTAACTTTCATTTAATACTCTATGGAAATTTATTTCAAAGTAGGTTATTACATCGCCTCCCCCTCCTAACCCCTTTCAATGAGAGATCAAAGAACCTAGAGGGATATTAGCATTCAAAAATATTTTTATTCGCTTTCATTTTATGTCCTTGTTGGAGAGTTCTTGCAAAAATAATTTAAATCTTTCCAAACCTTGATACGAGCTAGCCTAGATAGAGTGATGGGTATTTTAATAGTACTCAGAATTTGGCTTCCATTTGATACCATTGTCTAGATATTTTCTTGAAAAGGGTTTACCCCCACCCCTTCATGAACCAGCAAATATTGAGTATGATTAATTTTCCCAAAAAAACATGCCTATGCACTTAAAAATAAAAAAATAGTATTTCTGGGAGATAATGTATATTTTATGAGAAATTCAATTCTGAGAAAATTAAAATTTTTACTTAGCAAAATCACTTTTGAGAATTCAGGGAAAAATACTTTAAGTAGTTTTAATTCTGAGTAATTATGAAGAAAAAAATAATATATATTGAAGCACTAACCTACATGTATTTTTGGAATTACATATCTTTTTAAACTTCCGAATTAAGGCTTCCCAAAGTTTGGCAAACTTTACATAAGGCTATGTCTTAATATTAGATTCAGATTTGTGTAAAATATTTTGAAAATATAACTAATATTTTTTATCTAAGTAAACAGAAAAGATTAAAAAAATATATATAAAGATCGTAAAATCATAAGATTCAAAAATATTTTGAAATTGGGGAAATCCCCTTTTCACTTAAATATAATTTATTTTTAAATCGTTCGATAAAGACTGATGAGTAATGTGAGTTTAGCTTATACCTCTGTTTTTGGTAAATGACTGAGAAAACTGATTGATGAATTTATAAATATCAAGCACATGGATAGTCCACATTGTAGAAATTTATTGCCAGAAAATCTAGAGGCTCTCATAATTATTTTAAAAAATCTAATATATTCTAATTTTATAATTCATACTAAGATATATATATTATTCAAAATAAAATGGATACATTATTAAATATATATTATTTTTTTATCTATTTTAATATAATTGTTTTTTTAATTATAGTCTTCGTTGTAAAAATAAAATTATTAAAATAAAATTAAATACATAATTCGATTTTTTGCATAAAAAATATAGATTTTTTAGCTACATTTGGTTCAAAGGGGGGTGATATAAAATCAATATAAATATTAAATCAGTATTGGATTGGTAAAAAATATGTGGATCAGCATAGTCCTAGTCACAACATAACCTAGATATCAATTTTGCCAGTAAGGATCAAGGTTTAACAGATAAACTCAATGACTAATATATTAATGAGCCTGTTCCTAAGTGCTTATTAATAAGACTTAGAAAAAAAGCATAGGACAGGATCGCAAAAAAATTTTATTCCAATAAAAAAAATTTATTAATCATTACAAAAATTTATAAGAAAATTAAAAACTCTATCATCGAATAAATCTTGTACCTATTTTTAAAAAAATATTATTCAATTAATATGTTCATAAATGTTTCAAAATAAAATAGTAACTATTAGCAACTCGCGATATTGACCTCGCCATAATATCTTAGTGATATATGTTCAAGAAATAGTTTTTACTATATTGTCTTCCCTTTGGGTTTCACAATAATGACCGCTATAAAACATTCGCGATTATTGATTTGCGACGTTTGGCTGTAATATATTCGCTTTAAAGGTTTTATTATGAAAAATCCACGATATTTGTTTCACAATATTGCCCTCACGGAATAGTATTTGCTAATGTGGATTTGTGATAAAAGTTCCGCTATAAAATCTATTCGCAATAAACGTCAATTGTGATAAAAGTTTTGCTGAATTGATACGGAACCCTTAAATTTGGCATGTGTCAAATAGGTATTACCTGATGATGTACAGCTTTATCCTTAAGAAAGCGATATCTAGACATTTATACTATCACCCAATACAGAAGAAACTTAACCAATATAAAAACTCAATATATAAAGCCCTAGGTCAAAATATTTATTATTGAACATTTACTATAGACCAAGATAATAGCGAATATTAAGAAAGGCTACATTCGATATTAATAAACTTCTCAAAAAGAGAAAAATCATAGATTATTTGCCTATATAATATTAAACAGGAATACACCCATTTATAAATCTTTATTACTATAATAACATCTTTCAGTAAAAGATACAACACTATAGAAGCAATCATGACCTGACCTTAAAAATAATATTATAAAAGTAATATATTTCCATAATTGGGTCAATTTTTTATTTTAAAAAAATATTCTGAGTTGCATACATTTTTAGGCAATATTAATACCCAAACCAATACTAACACTGTATTGATATTGACCAATAATCAATATGAAAAATAACAATGTAATTTTTAAAAAAAATTCTAAATTTACACTTAATTTACAAAATTAGCACCTATTTCTTTAGATTTATTATCATATAGTTTTCATTTACATTTTTTTATATTACAAGATATTCACCATATGGCAATATTGATATTACTAGGGAGGAATGATTGGGGAATCAAAACCCTTTAAAAATTAAATATCTTGATGTCAGGAATTTTTTAAAAAGCATTTGTTTTTAATTTTTTTTAGATTTTGAGCACCCATTGAGCCAGACAAACTGAAAAGCTTGAATTATACTAATATATATATATCTAATTTTTATATTTGTGTAGTAAAAAAATTTGGTAATTAAATAAAAAAAATAATTTATTATAAATAAAATTAATTATTATAGACATCAAGGTGATAACAAATTATTATATAATTTTTATATATGGATTGAAAAATATCGGAAAATAATTACTTGTAAATTATAGTTCAAGAACATTTGGAATTGAATTTTTAGAATTAAAACTTTATATAAAATATAACTACATAAGTTATTCTCAGGAAAAGAGATAAAAACTGGATTAAATTTTTAAAATTAAAATAAAATTTATGGTTGTAGAATAAAAATAGACCATATAAATTTACATTAGATCAATTAATAATAATAATACCTGTGAATATTGAATTAACATTATGGCGAAAAGGAAAAGTTTAATATAAATTTATCCCAGTTAAGAATTTAACATGTTGAATGAATTGGCAAAGTTTTTTTTTCATCGCTCTACATATAAATCCCCCTAGAGGAGTTATGTCTCAAATTATTGATTTTTTAAAATAAAATGCAGTCTCTAATATTTGCTTATAAATTTTAATTTATACTAAATACTACTGTACGAAAATAAAATGATTCAATCCATTTAATAAAGAGATTATAGGAATTTTGAAATGTTAGCTACAATTGTCGCGAATCATGATCGACGAGTTTTAGAATCAAATTATAGGTGTAATAGGCGACTTATAACCGAAGAGCCCGCTCACATATTTTTTTAAATTTTTATAATTTGATCATCAGCCCACAGTTTTAAATTAACACTCCCCATATTCATCTAATAAATATATTTAACTCACCCGCCTTGCCCAATTATTTTTTAAAATTATCTGTATGGCTAGTTTAGTTATTTATCTATATAATAAATTAAGCAATATTATGAAATAAAGAAATAATTTTAATAAATATACATAGTCATAGCCAGGAATAATTAACTGGGGTGGGGGCAACTGTTTACTTAAGGGGGCCAATATTTTTTGAAATAAAATAAATAGTTAGGCATGCATATAAATTTTATCTATTTTTATTAAAAATTAGTAGATGATTTTAATCATTAAATTTTAACAAAAACGAATTAAATAAATTGTATTATTTTTTCCATAAGTCATTAATGCTAAATTTTGTTTACTTCGATCTTTCATCAATTCTCTAGTGCTTAAAAGAACTCTCTTTAGTGTAGAGAAGGCCTCGCAAAAAGCTGCTGATACATGATGATGGTTGCTGAGTACATTTATACAATTATTTAAATTCAAGATATGTTTTTTATGCATAATATATATGATATATTATAAATTATGCTTCTTTACTGCAGCTAATAATCCATGCTATTTTTATTTCATGATATAGAGTATCCATGTTTAAGTTTGATAATGATTCTAGTGGGGTATTTAATCTGATATAAAATAATCAGGATCAAGGGAGACAATGTATTAAAACACTATCGAAGATCAAAATAATCTTGCGATAATCTATTTAAAAACGATTTACAAAGTAATCAAAAATTTTATAATTATTCTTTTTTAAAAACCTCTAATCAAAGCCCTCTTTACAATAAATTGCAATTTGGTATTGACTAAAATATCTTGAGGATTTGTATTCGTTTTACGTACCCTTAATAATTTTTGGGGGATGAGAATAAATTTTTATGAAGGTTCTTCACCTTAATTCTTATTGAATCAAAAGAATTATCACTTGTTTTATTTTTTAATATAATTGTGGAATCAATACAATTTTTAGCATCCAATATATTAGTACCTACTAACTGTAGATACTTATTTAGTGAATCTATTATTATTATTAATATCTCATTTAAAATGGCCAATATAATGTAATTTATATTAAGCTATTGAGATAAAAGACGAGATGCTTCTACTGATTCATGAGTGGAAACCATTGAGTTTGGAGTTCTATTAGAATATTAAAATAATATTTCACCAATAGCGTTAAGATTCTATGATAGAAGATGATTCTAAATGAATACCTCCAGTGCTTTGATAAAATAAAAAATTAGAAATTATAATATTATTATATCAATTTAAAACCACATGCATTTTGTGGTTGTATCAATGTATATAAGGCCCTTTTTTTATTAATTTAATTTGAATGAGGGTTTGTACTCCTCTATTTCGGCTAGAGATGCTGTAGGCACTTCATATGCTAGGCTTATTATATTCGATGAAACAATATTTAATTCATTAAGTTGCTTTAACATAAAATTAGTTAATGTTTTCAGAAGAAAGACATTGTATATTAATTATTCCTTTTAAATTTCGTTATATTTCTCCACAATTAATTTAACGAGTAATTATGCTCAGGTTTCCATTATTTATTAGTTTGTATAAATTAACTATATGTTATTTTTCTAAAATTTTGGTTGTATTTCATTTAGATCCAATCGTTAATAGTGAATTAATTATTAACTAAATTATTTTTTTTAATTTGGGGGTCAAAATCTTTTCGAGGAGCCAGGTTACAGGCCAGAGATTGGGGGGGGGGGGCTATCCAACCCTCCCCCCCCCTCCGTGGATATGGCCCTGTATATATACTCTCAGTTGTTCCTTTAGAAAAATCAAATTCACCCCCGTCATCGTTTTAAAATTACTAGCCCAACGGCCGTTTAATGTTTAAAGTTTTTAAATTCGCCTCCCATTTTAGACATCTATATCAAATATCATAATATTCTGATTAAATTATTGGATATTGTGGTTCTTTTTTACAAAATGTAACATATAAAATATTAGTATATTTAATATTATTGAATGAATATTCCTATAAATAATTCTATTGGATAAATTTGATTGACATTTATTGGCGATTATATATAGAAACTAATTTAATTCTAATGGTTAATTAAATTTTAAATAATTCATTCATAAATATTATTTTAGTTAGTTTTGTTAAAAAGCCTAGCAAAATATTTAGGCTTACATAATGTTATTTTGGTTATAATCTTAATCGGGCCATTTTTTTAAATCGACCAGAATTGGGTTCAGATTACCGTTAGTAACAATTAGTTGATCATCTCTAACTAATGTTTATTTGTTATTTCTAGCCCAAATTATGGCGGAAATGTGTTTTTTTCGACAATGTATTATTTTTTTAACTTTAAATTATTTTTGCATGTTTTTTTAAATGATAGAATCTGATTCTATCGGAAATGTATTCCATCATGTTTGCAATATCTATCATATAAATATTAGACAATTTTACCATGAAAAATTAAACTTAATACGATTCATATTAGTTTTTCCATAGATTTTTCATATAAATTATAAATGATTCAAAAGTTAACGGTGTAATTATCTATAATTCATAAGATAGTTATTCTAAACATGCTGGAATACATTTCCGGCAAAATCAGATTTCAAAATTTAAAAAAAAAACGCGCACAGAAAATAGTTGAAAAAATAACACTTGCCTGAGAAAACACATTGCCGCTAACAGATACCTAAAAGAATTTTAATTAAGATTTAGTTGGGAGTTTACAAATAATGACTCATTATAAAATTTATTTATTAATAGGCGACCAAAACCCGCAAATTTATTTAGTTGGATAGGAGTATATTTTGGAGGGGTCTTTAGTTATAGCGAATAAAAATTTTTTATCATGTAGACGCGGGTTACTTCCTTAATATACTACCCCAAGTTTCGAACTTTTCGCGGAATCATATGTACTACCTTTTTTACATTACCTTATGAAAATTAGATGGCCTACTGAAAGATTTCCTCCATGGGGAGGATAATCTTATATTATTTGAGTTTTACCTATAATTAATTCAATATAAATGGCATGCTTTTTTTAACGTTATAATATATTTTGGTTTTATAAGAGCAATTTTATTTAACTTTATTTTATATCTTATTTATTTTATTTTGAATGTTTGGATAGAGATTATATTTTCCAATTAAAGATTTATCATTTTAGGCAAAACAATCATTAATCATACATTTAACAATAGTCATTAATCATGACCATAATCATCCTTATATTACCATTATATATACATAACATAATCATTAATTCAAATTATCATATTGATCACCATGAACATTAGAACCTTCTTAAATCATTCGCTCCATTTCTTGGATGGAAGGAATTTCATCACATTGTCTTCTTATTCAGATTGAACTCTCTCACCCTTTGTTAACACATATTTCTCGTGAGGTTGTCTCAAAATGGTCATCTTTTCTTCGACAGCTCATATAGCGCTTAACGTTGAACCGTTTTTGAACTAGTTTTAGCTTGCACAGCAATGAGGATTCAGTATCCAATACTGCACCTCCAACATAATTATTTGATGAGACGAAAATGCCTATACATTTGAAGTCCCTCCAGGAGGTTAATATATGTTCATTAGGTCGCAAGTTATTGATAACGTAAGTATCTTGTGGTTCGAGATGTGTAGGGACATAGGCTTTGAATAATGAATCATGGATAATTTTATTCTTTCTTACCTTTCATATTTGTATCTGGTTACAAGACAATAGAGTGGATGTCTAGAAACCTATCCCTTAATCGAATGTATCATTAATATTTTGGCATAAAAAATTATCCTGCATCCCCTTTAATCTATTATAAATCTTTAATATATTTAAAATCATCTTATAAATTTATAACTTTTTAGTTGTTTTCCTACTAGACTACGACGAGTACATATAAAAAGGGGTTTTGTTTTATCATTGAGTTTAATTACATTGATATTCCTTGAATATGTAATTTTATAAACAATTAATTTAAAATTATATCTATTGAAAAATACAGATGGCGTTTATTATTTTGGGGCTAATTTCTATGTAAAACTTGTATAATTTAGGCACCGTTGGGAGAAAGATTTTTGCCAAACTTAGACAGTTGCTCAATTTATCAAGACTTTTCACTTTCGAATAGTAGTTAATAGGAATTTAATTGGGACTCAAAATTTTGGTCGGTTATGGAATTGCCCGAATTACCAAGAGCCCAAACCTAGACAAGTTTATATTTTATTTTAAACATTTATTAGTGATTTAAGAAAAGCTTAAGATTGTGTGCTCTTAATAATTTTGGAAACTGACTAATTTAATTAAAATTTTAAATCCCAATCAAATTCCTAATAACTACTATTAGAAACTAAAGTCTTGACAAATTAGAGTACTTTCTAAGTTGAACAAAATTCTTGATCCAAAAGCTGTCCAAATTAGACAGGTTTTGTATGTTATAAAAATGGAATTTTATTATTTTACATTATATACTATACAATAAACGTTTATTTATTAGAGAATTTGCAGTTTGAAATGTTAACTAGCAGTAAGATTGCGCATGGCAGATTATAATATAAATCAAATTAGGGCTAGCCTCGGAGGAGTATAAAGGCTCGTCCACATAATAGGGTACTTTCTTTGAGGTTCTAGCATCTTTGGCTTAAAACGATAAAGAGCACTGCCTTGATAAAGGGTTTTATTTTATAAATTATTTCTTTATTATTAGCAATGCACATTATTTTATATGATTG